TCGATCGTTTTAGCCGACGCGTTTACACAGAGATAGTAACAAAAACGATTTTTCCAGCTCTGTTTCACCTAGCCTTTCAAATTGCAATTGGTAATCCTGTTGTTAAAAATTAAAGGAGAAAAGGCGTCGCAAATCTTGAACACTGGTCCCTTTTGGTTATTTGATCATTCTTTTGATGTAAATTATGATAAATATATATCGCAAACGTAATTTTTAGCATTTTATCAGAAGTGAAAGAGTGACAGTGGCTAAATTCTCTCAAAATGTGTGTTAAATTCAACAGAAAATTCAAGATGCCAGTGTCAAAACATTCCCTATCTCTTGTTTTCAGCGAAGAGCCCATATTTCTAGTCAGTTGAATGTCTGCATGAAATCTAATAAACCGCGATATCCTCAGAAAATTGATTTTCGAGTAGTTCAAATATTTTCAATGCCCAGAAATTGTTTCGTAATATTTGGCCAAAACTTATTTCTTCTGACCAGCAAAATAGGATTAATATTGTGATGAAGGGAATCTATAATATAATTCTATACTGCAGTGGATGCAGGAGAGAAAAGCAAAACACATCTATTTTATCTTTGATGTCAACGACCGAATAAGTCTGGAACGATTGCTTTTAATTATTTTTCCAAAAAATGAATTGCCAAAGATCGCGCGACTTGAATAATATGAATTATGTTGTATTGTTATTTATTACGAAACTGACCGTCACATTTTTTTAGCGTTACGCTATACTTCATTGTTACCTCCCCCAAACAAGGCCATAAACACTGTTGCTGATATTCTCGACACAGGTCATCACTCCATTCGGAGTGAGCTGAGATACTTCCCTTAAAAATTAGTAGTGTTTTAAAAAGTTAAAACTACATGAAGAACGCAAATTTGCCGTTTCCAATGCTTTAATTCTATTCTATTTAAAGTTATATTTCCATTCCATTTAGTCACGTTATGTCTTCTAAGATTATTTGTCCTATTACATGAAGGACGCAAATTTACCGTTTCCACTGCTTTTATTCTATTTTATTTTAAGCTATATTTCCATTCCATTTAGTTTACTTTATGTCTTTTGAGATTATTTGTCTTATTTCCACTTGCAAATGACCTGCAAGAATAAAAAGAAATCAATCAGCAGCGTCACAACTCAATACTGTGCTCAAACCCAATGGGTGAAATGTTTCAGGTTGCATCTGACAGAAAATTGCAATCAGAGGGAAAAACACGTTTATTTTCAATTCTCCTGTCGTAAAATATGCATTAAGCTCTCTGCAACTTAACAAACGCCTAAGAAAAAACACATGTTTATTATATTCCGAGCTGAATACCAGCCTCTGAGATGACTGGGCAAGTCATGTGACAATAAAGTTTTACTTGCTTACTTACTAAATTTAGTTCATGGTTTCATTATTTCTACGTTTTTTGGAATAAGCTAGACTTATTCCAAAAAAGAAAGGAATTTTGTGTGAGATGTACCTCTCGAAAAACATTTTACTTATAACTGACACCTTTTACTTATAACTGTAGTGTATTTAAAGTGTAGTAAGCTATTCACCGCTTTATGATACAACATAATGCTAAGCGCAGGTTTAAGATGAGTAAAGCCAGAAAAATTGCTATTGTAAGGTTAGTAAAATAAACCTTAGATAATTAACGGTCTCCCTTCGTTGAGAGAACTGTCAATCAATCTTGACATAGGAAGCTAAATTGGATGATATGAAAATCTACCAATTACAATATTTAACAACTCATTACCAATATATGGACTAGGGGCCTGGGCTGCCTTTCTCGATAGTCTCGGTAACTTTACGGACCCGAAACCATATTTTCAGATTCAAATTCAAGGAAGTGTTAGTGCTGATCTTAGCTCAAAAACTGGTCCTTTCGGTTTCGTTTCTTTATATTTTTATTGTTTGAATTTCAAAACAATTAAGGTCTTGATCTTGTCGCAGAAAACAAACGACAGCTTTTCGGGCAGGTACGTGTAGCTACCGGGACGTTCCAGAAAGGGGCCTCTAGTGGGTCTTGTTTTTTTTTCTTGCACAATAAAATTTACAATACCTACATTGTAAATGTAAATAATCTCAACAGAAGAACAAACCGCCAAAAAATAGGCTAACGGCAGTTTTCTCAAGACTTTCGCAATGTATCGAAACCGGTTCACTGTCTAATGGCAGCACATCACTGAATATAGCAAAATAAATTCGAAACAATGTAATAACTAAACTAAGTAGACCAGTTTTCAATTGAGTGTCGAAATAAATATATATATATATAAACAAAATCAAAGTTATTACCGCTTTGGGCAGATGACGCAACGACACTATACAATGTAATGAGCCAATCAAAACTCGAAACAAATACATGTAGCCGGCAAAAAGGGCGGGAAAAAGAGTATATGTGAATCAGAATATTGGTTTTCGTTTTACGTCTGATTGGATGAGAAAGTGAGCGAGATTTTTAAACAAATCACAAAGCGTCGCAATGAAAAGCAACTGCGAATAACTCTATAAAGGCTGGTTATGTCAGCATCTTATAACGTTTGCGCATGTCGGCTTATGCTTAAACGCTGGTGAAAACTAGCCTTGAACGCTCTATAAGCGCTCTAGCTATACATGCACAGAAATTACCTCAGACTTTGAAAATAAGCTATTAACCAACTCTGCACGATTGGTAAAGACGGGTCAACTGGTTACGATCAGATGGACTGAGACCATTTCGCTGACCAATTCTAGCCTAGAAAAAGTAAGATATAGGTAAGAAATTGTTACAAAACTGTAGCATTTATTAATGTTTTGTCTCGGAAGCCTTGGAATCACGTGCCAGGTGTTAATAGGGGGTCTCAGTGTGAGTGCTAAAATCAAAGCTACCAATTAAATTTCGGCGATTCATCAGCCATGAATTAAATCTCAGCCCATTTCTCAGTTTTTAGCAAATCTTTCCGGTCTCTGTTTTCAGCTATCATTTCACAACTGATAGTGTTAAAATTGTCATCAATTCTACACCATACATACCCTCAAATAACCTTGGTTACTACCGATGCAAAACCCGTGATCTCGGCTGAACTGACCAATCACTTTCAACGGACCAGACTTATAACACCATCGACTGGCAAACACTATTCACTTGACTCTGAAGATGACTTCCACTCAGGTTGTCGAAACGTCAGTCAGCAACAACAATTGGTTTAATAGCTACCCTCACCCGGACGATCACACGAGACAACTAAATTTGTTTGCTTGTCTGTTTGTGTTTAATTTCTCTACAATACCTGTAAGTGTAAATTAAACACCTACCCCTGCTCGTTTTGGCACGATTGTTGGTTTGCCGTTTTTGGAGAAAAACGTGGGTCCGTAATGCATCACACTCCCGTAATCATAAGGAAAATTAAAGGTATTAATCGCTACCATAAACTCTAAAACAAGAATGAGGCCAACAAGCCCCGCTCTGACCACTAAGTTGGACTTGTTTCTCAAAATGAAGAAAAAGACACTTTTATTTAGCTAGCGTAACTTACAGTTACAAAAACTGATATCCTCAGAGGCCCTAGATAAAAAACTAAAAACTAAACATGTCAAACAATAATAGAAATATAAAAATATGTTAAAAATACTTAAAACTAGTCCTAACTAAGCTAATAAAAAAATTACCTAAAAATAGCATATAAAAATTTGCCCCAAAATACGATTAATAAAAACTACAAATTACGATTAAAAACTACACTTCTATGATAATCTCGGTAGACCCTCGTTCAACTCTTCGATCATGCTTGTTAATAGCCAAATGGTCTGGCTCCCGCCAGTTGGGATTTTTAAGCCTATTATGTTTAGTTGATATATTTGTTTCTTTCAGTTTAACTGGCGTGCCTGTGAACTAGCTGGGTGTAGCTAAGCGCATTGACCACTATAAACAACAACATTAGTTGAACATTTGCATCTAACCTGCTGTCAGCGACTTAAAAGATGTTATAGCTCAACAAGTGACAGTTTATATCGCTTTACTACGAGGGATGTCTCTTTGGTTCTTTACAGCTATTATTGATAGCAACTTACCTAGAGTTCCGTCAATAACGTAATACAATACACCCTTAGGCCAGAGTTTCCTTGTATTTCTAGTTGCAGCTCTTTTTAGTCCGGACACGACGCGGCGTTGTTCAGGGGTTAGCCTCATGTCTCCCTCGAACAGCTCTCGGTTATTGCGATTCTCTTGAGCGAAAGATAAATAAATAAATTAATGCTAGGATTTAAAAAAAATGAACGAACGACGTGACTGACCGACAAACCGACTGATCGACCGATCGACTGACCATGCTACTGACTGACTGACAGACTAACTGACTGACTGACTGACTTACTTACAGGAAGAAATACGGCAAGCGCCTGAGGAAGGAAGGAATAAAGGAATGTTATCGATGAAAACAGGCCGAGTCATTGGCGAGGGGACAGCCAAAGTTGATTTTATCACAGGCCGCCGAGAGAATTAATGATTTTTTCTTTTTTATCCGTTTTTTTTTTTCTTTTACTCAGGAAAATTAAGGCATGGGTCAACAATTATTTTCCTCAAAACAGTTAGGGGGTGGTCTACATTCTGAGGCTTAGTTCATAACAACACAAACTTTTGGGAGACAAATACATCTTCTAAAGTGATTATTTTTGATTTGTCAAACTTATGCAAATTAGGTCACGTGACTTGATACGGCCAAAAAATCGTGGAAATTCTTTGAGCAAAAATGGGAACAGTTTGCAAAAAGAAGGTTTCAACAGAACTGGTACAGGACAAGTCCTAATGACAACAGCAAAGGAACTGTGCTTGGCAATTGTTGAATAGCTCATTATTTTTGGAAATAAACTGTTTCTTCTACTAGTACCCAGTCCTCCGATAAAAGTGATTTGTCTTTTTAAAAGTTTCTTTTTAAGTATCTTAACTTTTCCAAGCGCAGAAACGATTTATCTATTGACCCTTAACTCATGAAACTAACATCAAAGTTTAAGGACATAAGAAAAGTGTTCCCATTTAACAAAAGAGATTTTTTGGTTTGAAGAGGTCGCGTGACCTAATTTGCATATTTTCGACATTCCAAATTGACATTAACTGTCAACCTTTTGACCTGGCAGAGATTCATGCTGCTACAACTGAAGCTTCAAAATATACACTACCCCCTAACTTTCCGGGTAAAAAACTGGAGGCCCTTGCCTTAATTTACTTGGGTATGCGAACGTTCAGCAAAACGTGACATATACGGTCGACATATACTATAGATCGTTTTCACGTGACGTCATCACTTTCTAAAATCCAAAACGAAAGAGCCACCAAAGGCACAAGAGGTGGTATATTTATATCTGTTTACAATTTTACAGCTCAATAGCGTGCTTCGTTTGGAATCCAGAGCATTTTGAATTTCAGGGTTATGGAGGTGCGTGACACAAGGCTATGATCGAGTTTGTCGAAAAATATATACTTATCCCATGATTTTGAGCCTTTTTAGAAGTTAAAGCATTAGGAAAAGTGCTTATGTAAATGTTTGTTTGATCAGTACTGACAATCAGTCGCCTAGATAGCCAAATAAGTTCCAGATGTTTACACTATTTTCCTTCCGCCATATTGGTGTACCACGGAGGTACACCAACATGGCGTTTTCATACTGGGCTCTGTAAATATCGGCGAAACATTTCGACGAATATCTGAAGTTTGGGGAAACGCACAGGCCTAAAACTTGGAGAAGAGTCTTATTTAGTTATCTTCTATAACATCATAATTTCATAGCTTTTTCCACTGAATGGTTTTCCATTTATTTTTTTATTTCGTGACAGTGAAAACGATCTATTATATAACGATCGAGTTCGAATACGCGAAACGTGACTCCCGCCTTGCAGCATATGGATGTGTTGTCTTAAAACGGCCTTCGAATGTGTCTATGGCGGGTCCTGGCAACATCACTATTAAGTCCGGACAAACCGTTGTAACACATCAGCTCCATATATTGCAAGGCGAGAGTCACGTTTCGCGTATTCAAACGCGGTGGTTATGTAATAGTACATGTCGGCCGTTTATGTCACTTTTCGCTGAACGTTCGCATAAAAGAACAAAAAAGAATTTAAAAAATAATAACTCCTTGCATCGTGAGCTTGAGCCGCCTCTGATTCCTTTTGTGAAATGAAGTTATTCCTCGTCTGACTCTGCTCCATTGCGCGATCGATGCATGAACAAAATGGTACAGTCAATCCCTTTTTAACTATGCATTGCAAACGATTGGTTTGAAGCGTGTCAAAAAACAAGTCAAACGGTATCAGTGAAGTGTTAGGTCAACGGGCATTGCCCAGTAAAGGACGCTATGCTCGGTAGAATCGTTGTCGACTCTAAATCTACGAAATCCTTTCATGGAACATTAGCTTTAACATAATCACACCTATAAATAACAAATCCACTTCAAAATAACCGCCATACTATCGATCGGTGAGTTATTTTTTCCTGTGTTATTCCTTTAGAGAAACCATTGCGCTTCCCACTCGTTTTAGAGTCAACGGCTTCATGTATTTCAGA